GATGCACAGATTTACTGTGAATGTATGAAATGTCTAGAACTTTGAATGTAGTAATCATCCACGATAACAGATATATCAATCTTCATAAAATATAAACATAAACGTGAGATTTCTGTGGCTAAGAATATGCACTTATTTATATAATTTCAATGATGAAAGTTATTTGTTTATATCTAACATAATTTTATTTAGTATTCTTTTTTCTTGGCAATTCTTATCAGTTCTCTGATTAGATAAAATTTCTGTTATTCTAATAGTGTTTATAATGTAATAAGTTTCAATCTTTATGTAAGTAAGCTTAAATGGACATATCAACTTTTAGGTATAAGAATTTGTTGATATCCTTTAAAATTCAAAATAAATGAAATTAGGTATCATTGATTATATTGTTTCAGGTCTCATCGTCGTGGTCCAACCGTCGTTCAATGAATGTCAAAATGTGGTCTTCACAAGGCAACAATTCGAATGCAAATGCTGCATCAAAAGAAGAAAAGAATCTACGTACATTGGGCATGACATCTGCTATCAGTGTAGCAGAACCAAAGCCAAGTGATCTTACTAGAACAAATGAACTAAAAGAAGCGTTGAAGCCGTATAATGTGTTTGAATCTGAAGAAGAGTTAAATCACAGAATGGAAATTTTAAGGTATTTTCTTATTAACATTGAGATTTATGATCTTAACATTGAGCACTGCTAACTATGTGTCGTTCTTTTACTAGTAAATTAAATACGTTGGTGAAACAATGGATACGGGACACAAGTATCGCCAGAAATATGCCACCCAACGTTGCTGAACAAGTGGGCGGTAAAATATACACTTTCGGTTCATACAGGTTAGGGGTACATCACAAAGGTGCTGATATCGATGCTCTATGTGTTGTACCGCGTCACATCTATAGGTCGGATTACTTTACGTCCTTTTTTGAATTACTCAAAATGCAAGAAGAAGTTACAGATTTAAGGGTATGTATCTCAGTTATCGTCAAGTAAATATAACAATAAGTTGCTTGTTTAATTTGAATTTTTTTCAAATAGCACTCGGGCTATAAGTAGGGCAATATATATTTAGAATGATCAATTAATTAAATAATAAAAGTCTTTACATAAACTCATTACAGGTG